GGAACTTGGAGAAATGGGAGGGCACGTTTAGAATTCGTTGAGGGACATAAGGTGGGTTGAGGCAAATCCAGCACAAATCAGGGTGCTTGTATATTTTGCAAGCGCATTGGAATGTCCAGGTCAAGCGGTAAACTGGCCAAACTGATATTTCTCAAACTTTCCAAGGTATTTTCAGAGCCTGGAAAATTGTTCCTTCTGGTGACTTCAGTTCCCAGCATAATCTCTGTGTGACAATTTGGCCCTGTTGGTAAAACCACTGACTCAAAGGAGATCTTTTTTGCTCTTCCTGCCCATTCTGTAGCCATTTTGACTTTTATGTTACCAGTAATATTTTGATGACAGGCTAGAAAATGGCTTCCCGGGAAGTCTTATGTGCTGGAGCCTTGAGACAGCCATTTGGACCTCCCATGAGCCCACGGATCTCTGAATCAGTCCTTAGGCACCTAAGTATTCACTCCCAGTCACAAAACACGAAAAGCAGCTTGCCCCAAGGCAAAAGCATAAATTCACAGTTTCATTTTTTTCTAACACAGTCATAGTGTGGCCAACTGTTTTGCTGGTCACAAAACGAAGTTAGGTGTGACCTTGAACTCTGACCGTTCGGATACAAGCAAAAAGTCAAATACATGACTTGTAAGTTCGGCCGGGAAAAAAAAACACCCAGACTGCTAAGCTTCCAAAAACACCTTGTGCAGTACTATGGGTCCCTCTCCCCTGCGCAGGAAAGATGTGTCTCAGTAGACTTTCTTGTCACTGAAAGAAAATACCCTGAGAAGTGTAACCTGAGGGAGAGGGGTTCTGTTAGCTCACCTTCATGGTGGAGGATTCGAGGCACCAGGAAGGCACGGCAGCGAATCACGGTGCATCTGAGAGTGCGCGGCAGCCAATCACGCGCATCTGAGACGGAAGCATCAGCTACCGCGTGCATGCCTCCACTTACCTCCCTTTCTTCTCCAGTCCGAGATCCCCTGCTAGCTCACAAGCACTCCAGGAAACGAGTCGAGTTTCTTCAACGCCACGCAACTGTTCTTGATTTGTGCTTCGTGCCCTTCACAGGTGTATCGGATAGGAGTGAGTTTACTTCAGATTATTCATTACAACTGGCTACTGTTACTTGTTTGTACACCTCTATGGAAGAATGTGTTTGCCACGTGCTGCTCGTCCTTGTGATTGTACACTATGATCATGTGACTCTTCTCTGGCCTCAGAATATAAATCATCTGGTGTTCTGAGTAAAACTGGCTATTGCATGAGACTTTAGTCTGCCTGGTTTATTGGCTCCAGGTCCCACCGCCTCTAAAACAATAAAGAGTCCACAAGTGGACGGTTCTTCCTGCCTTAATTAACATAATCAAGATGACCGCCCCCCCAGTCACTGTAGGCATTTCAGAAGGATCAGGTGGGACAGGTATTCTGGCACTCTGGAGTCACAGAATACTGAGTGTTACACAGCTCCGATGGAACGGTATCCTGGAGCTCGGGAGCCAAGGACTACCACAAGCCACAGTAAATTTAGCTGCTTACAGCCTTGCCTCAGGGAAAGGCTTCCCTAGTGTATCTGCTCTGCTTTGGCAGGAGAGGGTCTTCCAGCTGGGGATGTTCGCCCAGTGTAGCAGTTTTTCTCCAGCAGGAGAGGGTTTCCCTGGCGAAGTTGCTACAGTTCAGCTCTGTTCCCCTGAGAATGGAGTGTGGAGTGCAACAACTCAGCTCTGCCAAGGGAAGGTTTCCCCTGCAAAAGTGTTACAGCCCTGCTCGCTCCCCTCTGCTCAGGGTCATCTCTGCTCTGCTGCAAAAGAAGGTCTTCACCCAAAGCTCATCGAAGGAGTTTATTGGAAGGGAAGAATTCAGGAGACTGGCTGCCCTCTGCCACAAGCTGCACAGACACAGGGTTTATATAGGGCTTTCAGGTGGGAGTTGGTCAGATTTTAATGCTGAGCTCACATTGGCTTGCAGTGCCACAAGCAACTCCGAGGTATCAGGAAAAGAGAGACAAGATGTCCCGCTGTTTGTACTAAGAGAATGCATGTGTTGCCTTTATTGCCAGGAGAATGTGTGTGTGTGTATCTTCATTGCAAGTGATAAGAGGTCTCTCCCTTGTAGGAGGGAGGAGCTTTATATACAGGTTTACAGCACAGTGGAAAAACCCCAGGTAGAAGAGATCGTGTTTTTCTCCTGCTGAATGTTGATGTCAGAGGGTCAAGGCCAGGGCAGTAAGCCAGGACTAGAAAACAGGAAGCACTTGGACTGGAAAACAAGTTGCACTTGTAGGCTGACCAGCAACTCACAGAGACCCTGTGGGGTTGGGGCCCAACATTGGCTAGTGCTCCTACTCGAGGATTGGTTAGTTTTCTGCACAGGGTTAGGGTCAAATTTGGCTCTGGTTTCAGGGCCAAAGTGTGTTTCTTTGGCTCTGCTCAGGGTGTGTTTCTTTGGCTGGTCCCTTTTCCCTACAGACACATCCATAAATACTGACACCAATCATTATATCATCTTACAGGAGTTTTCCATGAGGAAAAATGACACTAACTGGGAAAAAGGATGTGGAATTTCTTTTAATACACACGAACTTTCAAGCAAAAAGGGTAAATAGGACCATTCTGTTTGGTGCATGGCAAGCAAGCAAACAAACACCACAACCAAAAACACACAAGCAATCGGATACTAAAATTATAAACCGAGCTAAAGGTGAGTTTAGTGTTTATGTATAAAAGACAATTCCAAAAATAACCGAACACTTAAACCATGTACTCTATCTGAAAGTGCATTGTTAATTACTATTGGAATAGGACTTGGGTCCTAGCCCAACTTCTCAACTCTGAATCGGACCCATCTTGATGACAATCAAGTTCATTTTCTACTTTTACTGGGCTTCAGCAGCTCAAGCCAAGGTGTCTGAGAATCAAAGGAAACACTAACTAGAGTTTCCTTCACAGACAAACATAAAAATGTACCTCACTTCGTTTTAAATAATTTGTCCGTAATATTGTCAAAGGCCAAGCTGGAATCAGGATCATTTACATGAGCAAAATTTTGGATTTCACCACGAAAGCAAAAAAAAAAAAAAAAAAAATTATTAGCATCACTTTGGCTAGAAGAGTAAGCCAGTTCATCTTTGTCAAATCGCTTCCATCTGTCCCCCCATCCCCAAATAATTTCCTTTTTCTTCCCCCACTGGCTTCCAGCTGCTTGTGGCCTGAAACATGAGATGTGTCTTCTCATGGTGGGAGTTGCTCATGGTGGGGCTGTCTACACTGAAGATCTTAGAGAAGGCTTGCATCTCATGTGGTGTTCAGCACACTGCAAAAATCCAGTAATTCACATGTGCCAAGCCATGTCTAACTGCAACGTTACCAAAACACCAGCCTCCGTCTGTCCACCGTTGGTCATCATTGGGGAACATGTGAGGCTGTAATGAATTTGAAACTCAGTGTGGCTTACATCCAGAACCCTGCCTAGCATTGCCACTGTTAGTGTATTTACTAATTTAAAATAATCACGTGGCTATAAAGTATGCTAAAATGAAGTAGCTTAAAAAAATAGAGTTTTGGATTCCAGCAGATTGGAGTTTAAATTTTGATTCATTGACTAACTGGATAACCTTGTGTCTGTAACTTAAAATCCTCTGTTCAGCTGGGCATGGTCACACATGGTCATCATCCCAGCCCTTAGAGGCTGAGACAGGAGGATTGTTACGAGTTTGACATTAGCCTAGTCTATACAATGAGTCCTAGGCCACCCTGAGCCTAGCATTGGGATTGCTGTCTGGTTTTTTTGTTGTTTTTTTTTTATTGTTGTTTTTTTTGAGACAGGGTTTCTCTGTGGCTTTGGAGGCTGTCCTGGAACTCACTTTGTAGACCAGGCTGGCCTCAAACTCACAGAGATCTGCCTGCCTCTGCTTCCCGAGTGCTGGGGATTAAAGGCGTGCGCCACCACTGCCTGGCTTATTTTTATTTTTTAATGGTTTTCTCAAGACAGGGTTTCTCTGTGTAGCCCTGGTCATTCTATAGACCAGGTTGGCCTCAAACTCAGAGATCCACCTGCGTCTGCCTCCCAAGAGCTGGGACTAAAGCTGTGCGCCATCACCACCCAGCTCAATTTTTGTCTTCTTAAATGAAGATAGCCCAAAAAAGTTATTCATTTAAGTCCACTCAATTTAAAAAAAATCACTTGATATACTCACAATTAATACATTAGGGAAAGTTTACAGTAATCTTCTTTTCCATTAATTTACTATGTGTAACATCCAAGCAAAGGCTGGTTGAATGAGAAGCTTCCTATTTTCATAGAAAGGTTTTCCTACAATGTGACTTTTTTTTTTTTGCTCCATTAACCAATTCTCATGTGTTTTCCTCTTCCCGACTGTTAGTTTCCATTCTGCCTAATGCCAAATCTGTAAATCTGTAACAAGCATTCTTCCCCCCAGCCTGGTCCCAGAGCTGCATCAGTCCCAAATGAACACACAAGACACTATATTAATTATGGAGCTGTTGACTGTTTGCTATGGTTTCTTATTGGCTAGCTCTGACTAAATTATGCTAATCTGAGTTTTACATGTGGTCTCCTCTTACTAGAGAAAGAGTCCGGACCTCTTACTCCTCTCATGTCCATGACTGACTGTGCCTGTTTCCCAGAATCCTCCACCTCTCCTAGTCCCACCTATCTTACTTCCCTATTGGCCAACAGTGCTTTATTTACCAACCAATAAGACAAACATATACACAGAAGGACTTCCCCCATCACAAATCATTGTAATGTTACTGCAAGAAACCTATGCAGGAATTCAAGTCCCCAAAATGTATGAGGACATGCACCTCTCTCTATGCTATGCTTGCCCTGATCACCAAGGCAGATTCCAAGACTGAGCAAGAGCAGAGTTCATCTTCATTTACGTCACACTATCTCACAACTTCAGGTAATAGTCAAAATACACACAGTGCAGACCTCATTGTCTGTCTTCTCCTGTTGGTCTGTCCCATAAGAAAATTAAAACCAGTGAGAGCTCTCAGTAAAATTCATTTTATTATTCCAGTACAGTAAAATATTCCCAGGTTTGTTTCCAATCTGTTGTTTCTAAACAAAGTGGCATGAATTTGCTGACTCTGACGGCTGAGGTGAGGAACAACACGATGTGTAATATAAAGAATGAGCTCCGACTGGCAGTATCAAAAACAATGCCAAACAAGCTTTTCCATCTGACACACTCTTCTGCGTCTGCAAACGGAAGCTGTGTTTGTCTGGGCACCTGTGTGGTGGTGACTTCAACGTGGGCCTCTATGGAGAATAAAAGCTTCTGTGCTTGTACTTCATTAAACACCGCCTGTTTCACAATGCTCAGTTTGTGCTTTGACCCCTACCACAGGTCAGTCAAAATGCAAAGTCAGGCAAGCAGACAGGCATTTAAGACTTAGATGCATGCAAGAGAGCAGCTGCAGTGCAGGTCTGAGGTAATTCTGTCTCTGTGTATTCAAGCATCACAGACATGCCTCCCTGTAGAGCTGTTACGGGGCATGTGCTCACTAGACCCTTAGTTCAAGAGCCAGAACTAAGTTAAATAATGTTTGCTTCTTACAATAGTAAATAATTGTCCTGTTTAAGGAAGAAACAAAACAGGATTAAACTAACTTAAAAAGCAGAATTCACATTCATTTTGCATTCTCTGCAATTAAAACTGAGTTCATTAAAACCACTTGAAAGTATGCATTTAGCTTGAAATAGTGATTAAAATCCCAGCAGAGTGTCATTAGCTTAAAACCCTGTCTTTCCCAAATGTGGCAATGGGGAAATTGTCCCAAGGAAGCATCATCTACAGTGTAAGGTAGCACAGGAGCTGAGAAAATGGGGCTCCCCAGGCTGCTGAAAGTCAGGACTAGATCCACGCACTGTTTTTCTGGGGCCGAGAGGAGATTAACTGGGAATTCCTGAGCAGAGTCAAAGTGGGCCATCAAACTGAAATATTCCATACTTGCCGGTGGTCAGCCAGTGGGGATCAGAAGCCATGAGCCGCTCAGCCTCACCGGGCTGTAGACCAACCTGAAGCTCACACTTTAATGTTCTTATGCTACACAGAGGTGCCGGGTGGAAGCCACACAGGGCCTGATGGAACGGAATGGTAAACTCCCATTTTCTGTCACTCATCAGCTTCCTATAATTCAAATCCCCCTTGAATAAAATGAGGTGTGCCTTTTGTAGTTCAGCATACAAGTCAGGGGCAACCTGGGGCATCTCGCAATATGGGTGAGGCAGAGTCCAAAATATATGATCGTGGTAAATCCATCTGCCCATTTTAACATGGTTTTCCCAGTCGGCACCACAGGTGGCCATGGACTTCTGACTGCTACTCCTCACATGTTCAAGTATCCAATTAAAGTCACGCACAGTTACGTCAGACACAAACCATGGGATACTTTTTCCGTGAAAATGAATCTCAGTAGCTAACTCAGAGGATAACAAGAAGTCAGAGAGTACTAGATCTGTGATGAGTTCAAAGCCAGAATTATCCAGAACGATGTCTACTCTAACTACAGGCGGTTTTGCTGTTTTCTTGTATTTACTGAGCAATGCCCAAAGAGACTCTGTGTCGTTTATCAGAATGAATGGCTTTAGGCCTTCCAAAGAGTTCATGACATCGGTCTTCTGGGAACTGCTTTTTCCGCCTGATAGAGACAAGTCACACTTATTCCCCCAGAGGGAGATCTGAAATGGAAAGAAAAAAAAAAGTCATTACCCTTCCATAACCAACAAAAACTCCACTGTACAGGAAGGCATCCAGAATATTCCTATTTCTACAGAATTCTTAAAATGTCCACCAAATCTATTTTCTCCAATGACATATAATATATTTGCACAATACTGTGTTTAGTAAGGTAAAGCAATGATATATGATAAATTTAAGAACCATTAGTACCTACACAGATGTTAAAACATCAGCTGCTGTGAGAGAGAGGGTCAGAATGTATTCCATAACTGGAAGTCAAGAGAAAAAGCAATGTTCTCTTCTTCTCATCTCCAAACCGCCCTTCTTCTCTGTACAGATTGTGCAACCATAGGAGGGCACGTCTGAGAATGACAACCTTAGGAAGACGGAAGGCACTTCTGACATGTAGCTCTTTTGTTTGCTTGCTAATGGACACTGGACACAAGGACGTCTCAAGACCTAACCCCTACAACACGGTGATGCTAACCACAGGCCCAATGTAGTCATCTGCTTATTTAGCTGTATACTGAAATAATGCTCAACACTGTTTTCTAGAAAACAATATGTAATTCTATGGTTTTTAGCCTATATAATCCCATGTCCTGCAGGCTTGGAGTGAGACCTGTATTCAAAATCCAACATCTTCTATTACAGATCATCAGCAATCAAGGTCCCTCAGGGCTCAGATTCTGCAGTGGAAATGAGAACAGAGGCCTCTGCCCACCTGGATTGCTGTAATGCATGTCATAGCACACCAGTCTTGGCTGTAGAAGCATTCAGTAAAATGGCTAGTGTGAAGCAAATGTGCCTTGGACACCTCGTTTATGTCCCATAAACAAATGTAGAAACCCAAGGTAAACGACGTGTCCAAGGCACATTTGCTGCAGCTTGTGAGTGTCATGCATACAGTGGCTTATGTGACAATGTCTCTAGCTGATTTGCTACAGCTTGCCAGGGTCACGTGTACAGTGGCTTATGTGACAATGTCTCTAGCTGATTTGCTACAGCTTGCCAGGGTCACGTGTACAGTGGCTTATGTGACAATGTCTCTAGCTGAGCTAAGACCTTCTAGCCCTGCACAAGTCTTTCACCCCATCTTGGGTCACCATCTGTATTCCCTCCAAATCACAAGTTCTAGGCCGGGAGTGGCAACTCACACCTGTAATCCCAGCACTTGACAGGCTGAGGCAGGAGGACTGCTGTGAGCTTGAGGCTAGTCTGCACTATATGAATTACAGACCAGTCTGGGCTACGGAGTGAGACTCTGTCTCAAAACATGCCAAAAAATAAAAAATAATATATATATTATATAATATATTATAATAAAAATATAATAAAAAATATAATAAAATATATAATAAATATATACATAAAAAATATATATATATATATGAGTGCAGGGACAGAAAAGACAGTCATTTTCTTTTTCTGTGACCCTGTGCCTAGGAAGCACTTGAACAGTCACAGAGAGACCAGCAGACGGCTAGCTCCTTCCCCTTTAGAGTTTGGTCTACTTAAGGGACAATGACACAGGAGAAAGAACTACTTCCTGAAAGAGTGAGCTATAAGGAGTCATGAGCTGTGCAGTGTTCTCGTTCTCTTTAAATCTCAGACTGACATAAAGGACAGTTCAGAGAGACAAACACCAAATAAAAGAAACAAAATTAAAATAAAGTAGCCAAAAAAGGTATTGTAACACATGTGTTACTGAAGTACAAATAACTGTGTAAATTAACAGCTGCATAAACTAACACTCAGTACTAATTGCAGACTATCATAAAGCCATCTAGATACCTGCAGAAGTTTAAAAAGCTCGTCCTTTAGCTGGTCCTTGTGGAGGTCTCTGGCTGGTTTCAGCTGCTCCAAGTGCATGCACAGAGCATCGATGGACTCTTGAGACTCAAAGAAGTTCTCATCTTTGCTTTCTTTAAATACATCGAAGTCATGGATTGGTGGACTGAGGGAGGAGGAAACTGTAAGCATTTATGTGAGTCCTTTTAAAAAACAAACAACAACAAAACTCCCACACCTGGGTGACAGCAGCTCCCTAACGAGAAGAATGATTGCCATTCTTGACAACCAGCTCTGACAGACATGAGACACAGTACCAACAGTCACACAAAGATAAGTCTCAGCCGGGCGTTGGTGGCGCACGCCTTTAATCCCAGCACTCGGGAGGCAGAGGCAGGTGGATCTCTGTGAGTTCGAGGCCAGCCTGGTCTACAGAGCGAGTTCCAGGCCAGACTCCAAAGCTACACAGAGAAACTCTGTCTAAAAAAACAAACAAACAACAACAAAAAAAAGAAGACAACTTTCCATAGTTCATTCTCTCCTTCCACCATGTGGATCCCTCGCTTTTGGCAGCAAGCCCCTTATCTGCTGAGCCATCCTGTTGGCCCCTGCTGAGCTATTCGATTACTAACACTTGTAAACTTGCCTCTGGATGACGGCTTCATGAATCCTCCGATACATGTAGCACTCTACAAACAACCAGGGCGAGAAGAACCAGTGTGGCTCCCCATCGCTCTCATCCAATAGACTCTGCTCGTGTTCCAGGTACTGATTCCATATGTCAGTGTCAACCCATTTATCCGCCAAGCGGATAATCGGTTTATCGGTCTGTACCTCATTCCGCAATTTAGAAAGAAGAGAGATGGCTTTCTTTTCAGCTTCCATTCCTTCCTATGAAAGTACAAAGGGACAAAGAGAAAACTTGGCTGTGTTTTTGGTTGCACACACGCATGTATATTCCTTTAAGGTAGCATACTCTACAGACCTAAAGTGAAGAAAGAAAAACACAGTATTTTAAACCCGCCCTTTGCCTTTTATATGATCTTATAGATATTACACAGATCTCATCTTCGCCTTGGTGTGACTCAATAACCTCTCTTTCCTATTTCCTAAGACCTGGCTCCGGAGCATTTTCAGAAGGCTAACCAACACACTGAGGGAAGGGGACCACAGCCCCTGTATCTTTCTCACTTGCACACCCTTTGACTGACATGACCGGACAGGAAACCTGGACTCCCGAGTTTCTCCTGGCAGCTCTCCAGTCTATATCCCTACTCCCTAAGTCCCAGGTCAGTGACAGATGCCGTCACTGTGAGTTTTACACTTCTGGGACTCAAGATCTCAAACTAGAAATGCAAGTGCTGTAATACAGCTAGGTCTGAAATCTAAAAAGGCTCGTCGGAGACGTCAACAGCTTCATTTACAAGACAAGGTCCACTGAGGTTTCCTGAGACTAAACTATTCGCACACAACACATCTAAACCAGAAGCTGCTGCCCTCAACATACAGAAAAGCAGGTAAGTATTTGTGCCAGATATGAATCTTTACACGACAACAGTGTCCTTCCATGGATACTGTTATTCTCATGAGAAATAACACAAAACTAAAGACATAATTCTTACCTGTCCATGTTTTTCAAAAAATTCACTTCTATGTCGATGCAATGTATCGATAGCCTTGGTTAAGATCTGTGGTAGTCTGTCCTTAACGGTAAGATATGCAAACGACCTAGGAAAGAGAGGCACATGACACTGACATCACCAAGTCACATATGCAGCCCTAACACTAGAAGACACGCCCAATTTTAGCTTCTCGAATGCCTCATTTGGATTCAAATTTCCTTGTGTACAATTATGAAAGCAAACCAGTTTTACCCACTTTATAAAGAGATGCGGGACTGGGAATTTGATGAGTTGGTAGAGTCCCCCAGGCTTGCATGAATGCATGGATGAAGCCCCTGGCTAAAACACAGAGGGCACCACTGTAGCCCTAGAGGCAGGAGGGTCAGTGGTTTAAGGCCATTCTGGAATATATAAGACTGGGAGGGAGGGAGGGAGGGAGGGAGGGAGGGAGGGTGGGAGGGAGGGAGGGGGCAAAAGACAGAGACAGAAAGGCACAAGAACGTTTGAAAATCCCTCTAATGTCATGAGCTAAGCAGACTATAATACCCGATTCTGCCCAGAACTCTCTTTAATCTTTTGCTTTCTATTCTATTCATTTTCCGTCCCTAACTCAGAAACAATGTCTAAGTTCAGGAAAGAACTGGCCTTGCTATCAAACTGGTCCTGGGTCTATCACGAAGGGATTTCCTCTACTTAGAAAGACAAAAAGGTGTAGAAGTGCCTCTCGGTGCTAGGTGGCTGGGCGAGCAGAACAACGAGAAATACTTACAATCTGTTTCTCTCTTGTCTAACTCTTGGTTATTTCATCCCCCCCCCCAAAGGCTTCCCTCACTGCCTGCTCTACACAGAGAACTATTACTGACCCGAAACATAAATGCACGATAGCCTCTCCTTCCTGTTGAAGAAGTAGAGACTTCACACAACTATCAAAGAATGACGAAAGACAGAGATGAGGAAAACCTATTCTTGCATCAAAATACAAAGACATTTTGACTAGACATTTAAAGAAACACAAGATTTACATGTTTTCTCTATGGACATGCAAGCCCATTTTCATGATTTTTAATTGTGTGTGTGTGTGTGTGTGTGTGTGTGTGTGTGTGTGTGTGCCTGCCTGCTGGGGTAAGAGGCCTGGAGCTAGAGTTACAGGTAGTTGTGAACCACCAGACTGGGTCCTCACAAGGGTCCTCACCCTTGATGGCTGAGCCCTCTGTCTGGCCCCTGGAACATTAACTATGTACAGGGTACAGTGCCTAGCTGATGAGTTTCTCTGCTCTAATCATCTCTGTTAAATTTAATTTACTATTTTCTGCAAACTCAGGTGCCTCATTCTGGCTTTTAAAATACTGGGCTTAAGCATTTCTTTAGCCGGCTTCCTTGAATGGTAAGTATGAAACCTTTAAGGATTAAAAAGGAAAAACAAAACAAAACAAAACAAAACAAAACAAAAAACCTGCAAAAACCCATTTGGACTCTGAGGAGCTTCGAAATGCTTCTTAACTCCCAGGACTAGAACTGAAAGTTTAGCAATCACTAATACTGTCAAAGGGGATGGGGAGTGTGACCCAATCTAAGGCAGCAAAAACAAAAAGCAGCAGTGCTTTCGGGAGATGACTGGAATGCCTTATGTTTCTATTACGCACACCCCACCACCGAGTCCTCCTCCACTCTGGTGAGAAATCAGGATTAGGATGAAGTCAGGGTCTCCTAGAGGCAGGGTTCCCCAAACAGTGGCAGCTTACTTCTGGAGGCACAGACATGTCTCTCTGGCTGCAATCTGCTGTGTCTTGGCAAGGCCACATCTAAGCGTCTTGAAGAAACCATCTCAAGAGCTGGTGAGAGGGCTCAGTTGGGAAGGCATCTGCCACCAACTGTGGTCACCTGAGTTCAATCCCCAGAACCCACAAGGTAGAAGGAGAAAGCAGACTCCCTACACAAGCTGTCCTTTGACCTCCACTAATACATGATGTCACATGTGCTACCCTCCCATACATATAAATGAATTAAATTATTATTATTATTATTATTATTATTATTATTTTGGTTTTTCGAGACAGGGTTTCTCTGTGGCTTTGGAGGCTGTCCTGGAACTCGCTTGGTAGTCCAGGCTGGTCTCGAACTCACAGAGATTCGCCTGCCTCTGCCTCCCGAGTGCTGGGATTAAAGGCGTGCGCCACCAACGCCCGGCTCGAATTAAATTATTTAAAAATAAAGTATTTCATCCAGGCACCTTTAATCCCAGCACTGGGGAGGCAGGGGTGGTAGATCTCTGTGAGTTCCAGGCCAGTCTGGTCTACAAAATGAGTTCCAGGACAGACAGACAGACAGACAGACAGAGAAACCCTGTCTTGAGAAACCAAAAAATTCAATCAGTCAACGAATAAATTATTCCCAGTATGAATTTGGAGCCTGGTATGGTGGCTCACTTCTATAGTGCCAGCACTTATGGTGGAGACAGCATTGTCTGGAGTTCAGGGTCTTCCTCTACCACACAGTTCAATAGCTCAGTGTCAAAAAAAAACTTTTAAAAATGGATACTTCACCAATGCAACTGGATATTGTATTATCTTTGCTCTTATTATAACTTAGCTCTCAAAGCCAAGGATACTGTGATCCCCCTTTGTCCACAGGTTTGCTTTCCCAGAGGCACTAGACTAGTTTAAAAAACACACCCACAGAGCTGTTCTCTGACCTCCCTCGCGTTTAACGGCGCGCGCACACGCGGCATTTTTAAATGTTTGGGGATATTAGTTTGACCCACACCAGCAGTGCGCACCTCTCAGTAGGCAGGCGTCCTAAATTCCTGCCCCCGGCAGTGCTATTCCTCCTCCCTGGTTGAGTCTGAGACGGGCTTTCCCTAACCGATCCCAGGGGGGCCTTGAACTCGCGACTCGGGCGAGCTTGGCCTCAACTCGCAGCAATCCTCCTGCCTCAGGTTCCCAAACGCCGGCAACACGTGACGGCGAGGAAGACGCGACACAGCAGGTGCTGATGGTGCTGGCGAGCGCGGCGGGCAGGCGCCCCCGACCGCCCACGGCTTTCCCCACCCAGCCCGGCTTTTCCTCACGAGTGCGCGAGAGGAAAAGCGACACGCACCCCTCGTCCTGAGCGGAGAGAAACGCCGGGGACTCGGCCATCGCCGGCGACAGGCGACACCACGGACGGTTCACCGGTCGCTGCCTCCGGGCCCAGAAAGGGAGCGCTGGGGCTTTAAAAAAAAAAGGCGCCTTTGAATTCGAAAACTTTATTTGGTGCGGCGGCCAGGGACAGAGCACGGGGCCCCAGAGCCTTCCGGCTACGCGAGCGGAAGCCCGAGAGGACCGGAGGCGTCGGCCGGCTCAGCGGAAGAGAGGAAACGGAGAGGTCACGTGGTCTGGCGGTCACGTGTCCCGGCTGCCCGGCCTGGGGAACCGCAGCGCGCCTGCGCCGCAGCGGGGCGGGGCGGGGGAGTGGGTTTCCGCGAAGGCGCCTGCGGCGGCGGAAGCGTGTGCGCCGCACTGCGGTCCTCGTCTCCGCGCACAGGTCAGTGCTTCGCGCTTCCCCAGCCCGAGAGGCTGGCGACCAGCCCGAGAGGCTGGCGAGGCGGTGTGGGCTTCGGCCGGGGCCGCAGGTGGTAGCTGGGACACGCTCCTGACCCCTGGTTGGAATCAGGGCATAGTGGTAGCGGCCAGGATGCATGAAATCACCCTTGAGTTTAGGGATTGGAAGACGTGCTCCAGAGGTCAGCACCGCTTGCCCATCGGATCGAGCCGGGGTACAACCGCTTTCTTCATCTAGAGCTTTCTGAATCTCATACACGTGTGCATTGTATTTTGATCATGTCCACCACCATCCCCAGTACTCCCCTCGAGCCTACGCCTCTCCGGTGTCCCTCTCCCAACTTAATGGCTTGTATGTAAAACACTGAGCCCCGTTAGTGCTGCCCTCAGGCACACGACGGGCATGCTATTTATTCTTAAAGATAGTGCCCAATAACGGTAGCTGCCTTGGGTTTCATTTTAAAAATTGAGTTGATACCCATGTCGGAGGACGCCACCATCGCTGAACACAAGGGTACAAACACAGAAACCTGTTTTGAGGAGAGACAAAAATCCCTCTTACTTCTTTCTGCTACCGTTGTTAGCTAACGTGCATTACATTGATTTGCCACGTTTACTGTTTCCCAACCCAGCTGAAAACGGGCAAATATCCCGTTTGCCCGCTTTTCAGCTGTATTGGGAGCTAGCGAAATGTATGGCAATAGGGTCAGGACCCAGTCCACAACCTTTGTATGAATTAATAAAAATGCAAAGTGAAGAGAGAATGGGTGGCATTGGCTATGTGTATTAAGTCATTGAGGACCTGAAGCAAAGATCTGAAGGAGGCTAGGGAGGGACCCTGGCAAATCCTTGGGAGGAGAGCATGAGGACAGGTAAGCGCAGTGTCCAGGTATGCCTGGGGTGGGGGGGGGCAGAGCAGAATAAGCAAATGGAAGAACTGACCTCGGTGGTGCAGAAGGCTGGAAAAGCACAGGCCGTCTTAGGGGCTTTGGCTTTTACTGTGAAGGTAAAGCGGTCTTCAACTTCAGCACTGGAAAGACAGTTCTAGTTAAGGTCAGAATTTTGCTGGGGTCCATTGTGAATCATCCGTGGAAGGCTGAGAACGGAAGCAGGCGCCGTTGCCTTCCTCGTGAAGAGCAGCTTAAGGGAGGAGGTGGTGGTTGCTGCTCAGCTACAGTCCATCATGGCAGATGAGGCGTGGTGGCAGGAGTTGGTCACATTCATTGCACGACTAGAGAGCCGGGTGACCAAAGCTGCACAGAACTTTCTACTGTGCCCGTGGTGAAGCACTATTCACACTTCAGGTGGGTCTTCTTACCTCAGTTTGCCTGCTCTCCAAAGCTCGTCACGGACAAAGTCAAGGGTGTGTCTCCGTGGTGATTCTTAGTCTAGCCACGCACAGGTCAGCCACCATAAACAGGTAAAGGTTATTGTAATGATCGGTGGGAAAGTCAGGAACTTGCCTCAGATGGTAGGGGAATTTGGGCAGAGTACTGGTCAGAAAAGGCCAGCGGGATTTACTGAGATTGAGTATGGGGACTGAAGAGGAAGAAGGGAACTCCAGGGTTAGGGCTTAGCAGCTGTGAGGATGTGGTTGGCACTTGAATAGGGAAGGGCGTGGTTAGGATGGTTTTGTGGAAGAGTTCCGATGCTGAGTTTTGAGCATGTTGCATTTTTGGTGCTTAGAGTGATGATGTACAAAACCATGGGGTTGGCCAAGGTCACCCAGAGACTGAGTCCTGATGCAGTCTTGGAATGGATGAGGAACCAGCAACAGAGACCGGCAGGAGGAAAACAGCCAATGTGATATTCTAGAAGCCAAATAAAAAGGTGCTTCAAGGAGTGGGGAGTGAGTTCCAGGGGATCTGATGCCCTCTTCTGACCTCCATGGGCACCAGGCATGCACATAATTCACTGATACAAGCAGGCAAACACTTGTGCCCATAAAGTTGTTAAAAGAGGGTGGATTGATCAGTTGTTAAAAGAGGGTGGATTGATCAGTGGGTTGCAGGCTGATGATGGCTGAGGGTTCATGTTGTAGAACTTTCGATTTCTGTTTAGTTAGTGAAAAGAGGAAGTAAGGTCATCATGGAGAATGAGAAATCAGGAAGAGACCAGAGGATTCGAGGAGAGGGAGTCGGTGGGATATAGCAGGGATACGGTCCTGAGCATCAGTGAAGACCGGCCGGAAGAGATGGGCCTGGCTGGAGAGTGGAAGGGAATGGCTGGTTGACAGTCTCTTCACAGTGCGTAGACACAGTTCAGCTGGGGAAGTCATGTTCAGTTAGGACTGAGGTTGTCATACGGCTGTGGAAGTGGGAGGGACGCAGGCTTCACGGTGAATGGGAGGGATGCTAAGAGTGGGCCTGGGGCGTTAGCTGGATGTGAAGGAAGTGGAAGTAGGGGCGGGACTGAAAGTTAGGTCCTGCTGCGGAGGAGGGAGGATTGTTGGCTTTGGGTAGTGGAAGGAATGGACTGGAAAGATTGGAGGCAGTGTCTGGGGCGTGACAGGGGTAAAACCAGAACATGGGCTGGACTTAGAGGACCTAACAGGGAGATCTTGAGCTTTCTAGGTTCTGCATTGATAAAAGAAAAACATGGGTAAAATTAGCTTTAATAATTTATAAAGGGGTTATATGTTACAGAGATTTTACAGGTAACTAAGATCATGGTAAGAATCTAGCCCTTGAATTAAGGAAAGCCTGGGTGACTTTGTTTTCATTTGGAGGGGGGGGGAGTGAGTTCACCGACACTTGCCACAGCATGTGGAGGTCAGTCAGAGGACACCCCGCAGAAACCAATTCTCTCTTACCCTGTGGGGTTTGGGCACTGAACTTGGGCCAACGGGCTTAACAGCAGGCATGTTGACCCACTGAACCATCTCTCGGCCCTGAGCAACTTCCTTTAGCCTCTAGACTTCAGTTTCCCCATCTGGGAAATGTCTTCCTGAGCGATTATGAGGTAAAATAGGGCGTTTAGAATGCAGAAGGTACTGGAAGGTCACATCTGAGGTTTTCTCGGCTCTCCCTTCACATCATTAGCGGAGACATGTTTCTGAAGCACACACCTGACCAGGTGGTTCTGTTATTCCAAAGCCTGACTCCCCCACCAGTGCAACCTGTAGGACCGTTTTTAATGTGTCTTTAGCGTCTGGCCACTTTTTCCTCCTCATCTCCGCAACTCACTTCTCAGCTGAAGTTTGTTAGATAAATAATACTGTGTACCTGGCCTGTTTGCTCTGCTGATCTCTCTGTCCTTCCGTGAACCATAGCAAATGTCACCTCTGACTATGTCACACTCCTCACGCCGGGTCCTCCCTTGTCAAGACCACATAGCATTTTGTACATCAGATTCTGTCTCCTTGGCTGGACTGCGAGTTACAGTCTCTGATCGATGCTGTGTCTTCGGCACCTAATGTTTAAGAATTGTGATCATCACTTACTGTATGTTTGCTTTTTGAAGAATGTGCTATTTTATATTGTAAGGGGTGGCAATCTCGCATATAACAGTCCGCTTCCTTCTGGCTGTGTGTGTGCTTGCCTGTCTAATATGCCTGCCCCAACTCCTTACACCCAGCCCCAGACTGAGTAGCACCTTCCCGCTTAAAAGATGGAAGGCATTTCAGTCTTTCTGGGAGCATTTCCTGTAGAACTGAGGGAGCTCTTGCTGTTTGCTTCTCATGGCTTGTACTCAGCTCCGTGGTTTGGGCTCTTTTGTGGCGTTGTGATGAAAAAAATGCCCGCCTTCTCCAAAGGCTGGAATATGATGGCAAGGGTACTTGGCCTTTGATGCACCTGTGGCCTCGGCTAGTTGATTGATTGATTGATTGATTGATTGATTGATTGATTGATTTAGGTTGGTTGGTTGGTTTGGTTTGGTGTGGTGTGGTTTTTGGTTTTTCCAGACAAGGTTTCTCTATGTAATAGCCCTGACAGTCCTGGAATTCACTCTGTAGACCAGGCTGACCTTGAACTCATAGAGCAACCTGCCCCTGCCTCCCAACTAGTTGATGGTTGGGTTATAAATGTTGAATAAAGGAATGTGTAAGTACAGGTTGGAGTACGAGCGCGCGCATGTGTGTGTGTGTGTGTGTCTGTGTGTGTGTGTGTGTGTGTTGGTTTTCTTTGGCGTTTTTGTTTGTTTGGTTAGTTTTTTTGTTTTTTAAGAAAGGGTCTCCATATGTATCTCTGACTGACTTGGAACTTACTATGTAGAGCAGGCTAACCTTGAACTCACCTGCCTCTGCCTCCCAAGTCCTGAGACTAAAGACATGCACCATCACATCCAACTGTTTTTAAAGTATTTGATATTACAAAAGTATGGAAAGGTTCCATACCCTTTTCTCTTTTAACATCTTTGTTACTGATAGTACATATATAATTTTATAATCTTCCAGAAAAAGGTCAAAATAATGACTAAATGGAAACAAAGTAAGAGTGTGTGTGTGTGTGTGTGTGTGTGTGTGTGTTTTGCATGACTGAGTAAA